GGGCCTGTAATCGCTAGCACTCTGGGAGCGGCCGAGGCGGGCGGGATTGCTCAGGTCGGGATTCGAAACCAGCCTGAGCGAGACCCCATCTCTACTAAAATAGAAAGAAATTAATTGGCCAACTAAAAGTATATATACAAAAAAAAATTAGCCGGGCATGGTGGCGCATGCCTGTAGTCCCAGCTACTCGGGAGGCTGAGGCAGGAGGATCGCTTGAGCCCAGGAGATTGAGGTTGCTGTGAGCTAGGCTGACGCGCCGGCACTCACTCTAGCCTGGGCAACAAAGTGAGACTCTGTCTCAAAAAAAAAAAAAAAAAACCAACTCTATTACTATTAAGAAAAAACAAACCAACAGAACAGCGGGGCCAAGGACACAATCGGACAGTTCAAAGAAAAAGAAACACGAATTATTTTTAAATATAGGAAATGATGTTCAACCTTGCTCGTAATTTTTTTAAAAAGCGTGTTAAAAACCACAGTGACACAGCCTGTCAGAGCTCCCCTATCAGACCGGCAATCGAAAAGTTAGATGCGCCAAGTTGACAACTTCTACCCCGCTTCTGATGGGAGTTCAAACCAGCACAGCTTTCCTGGCAGGCAATCTGGCGATACCTGTCCACGCTGCGACTGTACGTTTCCTCGGATCTAGTGATCCCGCTCCTGGGAATCTGTGCTGGAGACATGCTCACATAAATGATCAAAGACCCTTACACGAGGTTTGTTTGTTGCAGGGTTGTTTATAGAGTCAGAAGCCTGAGAGAAGCTTGCGTGCCGGTGGACAGAGGAGGGCTGCTGAACAAACACGGCACATCCGTGCAAGGCGCCAGTGCGTAGCTGGCCTGGACACGAAGGCTCGTACACGGAATGATGGAGAATGTTCTTTGATTGACATCGTTAAGTGCTGAAACATCAAGGTGAGAAAAGAAAATGTGCGTGCCGTGAGCTGTCCGTGCAAAATACAGGTGTTCGTGGCAGGGAGGGAGGGAAAGAGAGAGGGAGGGGGAGTGAAATGTGTGGATGGAAACCCCAGAAACCAATGCCAGTGTTTTGGGCATGAAAAAATTGAGGATCTGGGTGTCCTGTGTAAGAAGAAGGTTTACATCGTATTATATTTCTGTTCTATTTGAACTTTGGGACCTGCATTCCTTTAAAAGTATTTTTTCTTTTTTTGAGATAGAGCCTCACTCTGTTGCCCAGGCTGGAGTGCCATGGTGTCAGCTTAGCTCACAGCAACCTCCAACTCCCGGGCTCAAGTGATCCTCCTGCCTCAGCCTCCCGAGTAGCTGGGACTACAGGCATGCGCCACCACACCCGGCTAATTGTTTCTCTCTATATATTAGTTGGCCAATTAATTTCTTTCTATCTTTAGTAGAGATGGGGTCTCGCTCTTGCTCGGGCTGGTCTCGAACTCCTGACCTTGAGCGATCCTCCCGCCTCGGCCTCCCAAGAGTGCTGGGATGACAGGTGTGAGCCACCGCGCCCGGTCTCCAGTAGAACTTTGGGACCTGCATTCCTATGAAAGTGTTTTAAGACCTGCCGTCACAGTGAAAATGACCGTCAGGCGTGTCCGCGCTAAACGCCAGGCGGGAACCGAAGCAGCCGCCTAACGTCCCCACTTTTGCCTCCATGCCGCTGAGCACCCGCGCACGCCCCGGCCACCGGCTCCTTTCTCAGTTCCCGTCTGTCACCTCAGCGCTGCACACGCGAGTCCGAAATGCGAACCGGGAACAAAGCTCGCCGATGGCATACGCCAGGGGTCCTCAAACTTTTTAAACAGGGGCCCCGTTCACTGTCCTCAGACCGGTTGGAGGGCGGACTATCGTTTTAAAAAAAAAACTATGAAACAAAGTCCTATGCACACTGCACGTGTTATTTTGAAGTAAAAAACAAACGGGCAGAAACACCCACACGTGGGCCCGCGGGCCGTGGTTGAGGACGCCCGGACATGTACAGAGAAGAATCCAGACGGGACAGCCGCCGTCTCTCCGCCGAGTGCGGGAGCGTGGACGCGCGACCCGGGTCGACCGCAGGCTGGGGCGGCCCTGCTATGGCAACGCGGCAGCGAGAATCCGAGACGCAAAGGTGGAAAACGTTCGGTTTCATTCTGCCACGGTCCGCTCCCCGTCTCTAACTAAAATCGTGGGATGTTCATTCTGCCAGAGAAGCAAGCCTCGGGACTGGTTTGTTGGCATCTGGGGGAAGAGTCTCAAACACGGCAGCAACATCTGCTCCTCAGACAGCAGGTGCAGCATCTGCAGAACTCCCGTTGCATAAAGTGAGCCCCCTGGACACGAGGATCTTCCTGTCGTTCCCGCTGCAAATGGCCACCGTCGTGTCCGGGTGGGACAAGGCGGGTGGGACAGAGGGAAGGGAGGGTGTCTCGTTTCGCCTCGGAAAGACGCACCCCAAAGCCAGGCAGGGTCCACAAGTGACCGGGGCCTGGGGCACTGGGACCCTCCACGGCATGTCACTGCACGTCACACAAGCCTGCAAACGTGGGCTCACGTGGCAGACCGGAACAGCGAGGAGGGAGGGGCTGCGGACAGAAACGTCGGGGGGCAGGCGGGCCACGAGGCACTGTCTGGAAAGATGCAGGGACGGCGTTCCAGGCAGGGAACCACCCGGAAGGTGCAGGCCCTGTAAGAACAGGCGCCGGACACAGATGCGAGGGATCACCCCCCCCGTTGTCCAGGGACATAAGAGGCTGCAGGGACCGCAGGGCGTGTGCCTGGCACCAATGACCACGCTGCCTCCTCTTGCCAGACAACTCCTGCCCAGTCGAAGAGTTTGCCGGAATTTCCAGGTATCCCGCTCTCTAAAGAGAAGCCAGACATCCTGGTTTCTCCATTTGAAATCTCCCCCCAATTTTTTTTTTTTTTTTGAGACAGAGTCTCACTCTATTCCCCAGGCTAGAGTGAGTGCCGTGGCATCAGCCTCGCTCACAGCAACCTCAAACTCCAGGGCTCAAGTGATCTCCTGCCTCAGCGCCTCCTCCGAGTAGCTGGGACTACAGGCATGGCACCACCCACCCGGCTAATTTTTTCTATATGTTTTTAGCTGTCCAAGTAATTTCTTTCTTTTTTTCTTTTTTTTTTTTTAGTAGAGACGGTGTCTCGCTCTTGCTCAGGCTGGTCTCCAACTCCTGACCTCAAGCGATCCACCCGCCTCGGCCTCCCAGAGTGCTGGGATGACAGGCGTGAGCCACCACGCCCGGCCTGTTATTTGAATTTCTTTGTCGTTATGTCTGCCTGTGGTCTGTCTCCGTGCCAGACTCTTATCCTATCTGCCCTGCGCCCCTCATGTCTGAAATCAGGCCTGGGGTGGGCGGTACTGTATCGGAAATTCAGATTTTTGCCTTTTAAAGTCTCCCAGATTTTTAGTCTTAATGATTTAAAAAATAACTGTGCCGATGAAATGCAAAAACAAGCAAATGAATACACATAGAAGATAATTATGTATATAATTCTGGTACCCCAGAGAATCTCTCATTTCCCAAATTCCCATTTGTTCATTGGGTATATAAGCATTATTGCTTAAAAATCCCATGATAAACATATTTTTTCCCTCTGGGAACACGAAGAATGAAGTCTCTGCTGTGACCCAGGGGCTGTGACGGTCCTTTACAAACTGCGCAACGCCATGTAAACAGCAAGAACGGTAATCACTATAATTATCCGCCTCGGCCTCCCAGGCCCCTAAATAGGGCTGGTTCAGGAGCCTCCCGCCCTCCTGGGAAGGGACTGAGCCGTCCGCACCACGCACCCCGGGACCAGGAAACTTCTGGATAATGACACGGCTTGGTTTTGTTCTTTTTTAAACATTCCCTTGTCCTCGTTATAAATGTTATCTATAAAATGGCGTGTTTATAAAAAACACGGCCCGGGACGTCCTGGCCAATGCCATTTATGGACTGAGATTAATCGACCGTCACGGCTTCCCGGAGGGAGCAGAGGCCGACGCCAGCCGGGGAGACAGCGGCGGCTGCGGGCGGGTCCGGACACCCTGGAGCCCCGGCCGTCCCCTGTCGGAGCCCCACCGTCCCGTCCCGGCTTCCCTGTCAAGCGGGCAGGCGGGCTGGCCAGTCTCTGGGGCTCCTTCCAGCTGCAACCGCCACGATTCCTCTAAAACGGCCGTGTGCACCCGCACACCAACACAGGTGGCGCAGAGGCTCGGCACACCTCCCAGCGGTTTTGCGACTTCCTGCAGGACCGAGGGCCTATCTCTCTAGGACTCGGCCCAGCTCAGATCGGGCAAAGAGAAACCAGACCGCGCCAGGGCAGGCGCCCGGGAGCTGAACCGCGCAAGCTAACTCAGGTCACCAGGCGACCAGGGAATCCTCACCTGGCGGCGTGGACGCGGCCACACCTGCTTCCTGGGCACCTGCCAGGCGTAGGGCCGGGTGCAGGAGCCAGAACGAGAAAACGGGGAAAGCCGCGCGCACAGTTCTGGTAAAACCTCGTACAAAGTTGGGAGCGGCTGTGGCGGGAAACAGGCTCCGGAGACCAGGGTCCCCGCCCTGTGCCGGGGCCCCCTCCGTGAGGCTCACCTGGTACCTGTGTGCACCTGTGCACACCTGCGCTACTGCACCTGCCGCTCGGCGGTTATTTTCCAGTAATCTCCGTACGTCTGTCTCCCCCAACTCCCTTTGCAACCCGAGCCCCCTCCAAGGCCAGTGCCGTCCGTGCCTCTGAGACCCTGAGCAAGTCCCTTAATGGCCCTGGAAGATACACGTCTTCATCTGCCGTGTCCAGGTCACCAGTGAGACTCGGCACCGGGGTCAGGTTTCCCCGGGGGGCTCCCCGGGGCCTCGGGGTCATGAGCAGGAGTGTGACAGGGGCGCCAGGCCTGGGGCCCCCAGAGGCCGTGGTGGGGGCCTCGGGGGCTGCTCGGGGCTCCAGGACCTTGGGGAGCGCAGCTCTGCCTGACCCCCGCCGCCAGCTGGGGGACCCACCCCCCTACCCCCATCCCCGGGTTCCCCCTCTGCTGGAGACCAGCCGAGAGGCCCACAGGGCTCCTGGACGAGGCGCCCGCCATGGAGACCCTTCCCTTTCCTCCAGCGACCCGGCCGGGGAAGGGGACCGTGGGAATCCACAGCTCCCGCACCTGCCACACAGGGGGCTCGAGAAGCTCCCCGAAAACGGGGGTGAAAGAGAAATGGCAGCACCCCGAGCCCCATCGCTGGCAGGCGGGGGGTAGGGGTGGCCCAGAGTGTCCGGTGTGGCCCCCCATCACGGCCGGGTTCCCAGGGCTCTGACTGGAGGGCTCTCTCTGGGGGGCTGGGCGCTAGCTGGGGTCGGGCCCGGGTGCGGCCTGAGCCCGGTTCCAGCTGGGTGTTAGAGGCCGGTCCCCGTGAAGCCGGCGAGGCCACTGTTGGGACCGAGCCACCTCCCCAGCAGGCCGGCGTCCGGCCCCCCAGCCCAGCTCGGACTTCAGCGGTGGGGGGGCTCCCCGCCCCGACTTCCAGCAGCAAGCGCCCCCGCTGCCCACGGGACTCCCGTCCCTCCCCGCCCGCTCCTGCCCGCGGGGAGTGAACCCGCACGCCTGCCATGGAGGACGGCGCCTCCCGTCCAACCAGAGAGAAACCTCGCCCCGACCAACGCTTCCAGGCTTGCACCCTCGCGAGGGGGAAGGGAGGCCGCCTGGCCGCGTGGGTGGAGGCCGCCTGGCCGCGTGGGTGGAGGGCATGTGGGTTCGCTCCCCATCCCACACCCGAGGGGGAAAACCACGGAGGGCGGCTACCCACGGCCTCGGACGGGCCAGAGCTCCGTGTCACGGGCCCGGGTGAGCTCACACGCGAGACGCAGGACGCGAGTTGAAGGGGCCCTAAAGTGCCCGGCCCCGAGGACGCCCGGCTCCCCTGATCGCAGGGCTCGCGCCACCCAGAGCCAGGGGTCGCCCCGTCCCAGCTCCAACCCGGGAGGACAAAGCGCCCGGCCCCGCAGAGAGGTTGGGGGACGGGAGACCCCGAGGACGAGCACCCTGCGGCGACAGCCTCAGCCACGAACCGGCAAAGCGTTCCCGGGACACCCGCCGGGCAGGAAGGCGGCGTGGCGAGGAGGAGGAGGAGGAGGAGACGCCTTACCTGGGTGGTCTTGCGATCGGGAGTGGGCTCCCCGCACCTGCACACACACAAGACCACACCGTGAGACACGCGGGGACACGCTCCCGCCGAGACCCCCTCCCCCGCCCGCCGACCACCTGGGCCGTCACCTGCAAGCCGCGGCCGAGCAGCAGCAGCAGCAGCCAGCAGCACCAGCAGCATTGGGCCAGCAGCTGCCCCATGGCGCCGGCGGCGGGCGCGGCCCACGCGTGGTCCGAGGGGCCGGAGGCGCGAGCGTCCTCCTCACCTCCCGCCTCCCTGGGGGCCCGGCATGTGCGCAGGCTCCGGGGAGGAGAAGGCTTCGTCTCCTCCGCGTCTGCCAGGCTCGGCGGCCGTCGCGGGGGTTAACGGGCGTCCCCTGCTTGTCCCAGAGCTGGGCCTTCTCGGGTGACCCGGGTGACCCGCAGGCTCATGGCGGGGAGGGCCCGCCGCGGAGCACACGCGGGCAGGGACCCACGTCCCAGTCGTGCAGTGGCAGGACACGAGCCGTCACCGCGTGCCGGGCGGGGGCCGTGCGTGGCCTCGGGGCTTCCTTTGTGTCTCAGGAGCCTGCGTGCGTCTCCTCCGGGTGTGGGCTGGGCTGTCCTCCTTCCTCTCGAGGTGGGGAGCCAGCGACCCTCCCCGGAGAGCTCCTGGCGGCGGCTGGAGCCTGTCCCTCGGATGGCTGCTCGCGAGCGAGCTCCTCCTGCTCCGGCTCAAGTTTACGATGGGCGGCGAGGGCTCCCGCCCTGGGTGGGGAGCGGTGATGTAAAGCTCCTCCTCGGCCGTCCTGCCAGGCCTCCCCTATTTATATCTGAGGCCGCCCCGTCCTGCCTGGGTCCTAGCTCCAGCCCGTCGCAGGTGGCCGGGATCCCAGGCTCCCTGCGGACGGGACGGGACGGGGCCGCACACCTGCTTCCAATCAGCCCCGGAGGAGGCAGCGCCGGGATTGCACGAGCGGGGCAGATGGAGATCACGCGGCAAGCCCTGCTTGGACTCAGGTCTCGTTTGCCCAGAGGAGGCGGTAAGGTGATACCTGGGCAGGAAAGGAAAACACACGCGCCCGCCCTGCCCGCCACGCTGGGGGCCGGCCACATACCCCTCCCCCTGCAACTCCTCCAGAAGTCGGTGGAACCCGCAGCAGGGTCATTTACACGGAGCAGTCACGCCCCACCCAGCACACGGGATAGCGTCTCCGTGTGAGAGCAAAGGGGGCCCTTGGTCAGCCGTACCTCGGTTTACCCCAGGCCAGACTTTATCCGATCTACTCCAAATACAAGTGTACACACACACACACACACATTTCATGCGCCCTCACCCCTGGTAATGCCCGGCTAACACTCTCAAGACAGTAGACTATAATGACTACACTGACCAATTTCCAATCCTTCTACAGCTCCTTTCACTATTAGACGTCGCGTCGGTCTCACATTTGCTCAGGCTGGTTTCAAAATCCTGACCTCGAGCAATCCGCCCGCCCTCGGCTCTCCAGAAGGCTGGGATTACAGGTTGTAGCCACCGCGCCGGCCGGTGATTA